AATTTCCAGTGTCCATCTTGATAGTCCCAGCCCACTTCAGATGTCACCCATCTGCGGTGTTGGATTGCAATAACCACTTTAGTACAGAGTAGCGCGTATACACCACAACTGGGAATTCTGATCCATGGATCAGAGGTCTGAAAACCTCCAGAGTCCGCAAGATTGCGAGCACCTCCTTCTCAGCTATGTGGTAACGTAACTCTGATTCCTTCAACACTCTGCAGTAAATCGTACTGTATGTATGAGTCCTTCATGCTCCTGACCCAGAACTGCACACGCCGACCACGGATTAGCATGCGGGATAATCACGAAAGGCTTGGTTGTATCTGGATGTCGCAGCAACGGGGTCGACACGATCTTACGTTTCAGTATCTCGAAAGATTCCTTTGCGGCTTCCAGGTTCCGTCCAGCGCGTACACGTTCTTCGTAGAGCACAGCGGCAACTACTGGTAAGGCTTCAATAAACTTGTTGTAATAATTCAGACTTCCTAAGAAGGACTGCACTCCCTTGTACGTCGACGGGAAAGGTAAGTCCTCTATGCCTTTGACAATCTTCGGCAAGGCTCTGATTCCGTCCACACTCACTTCATGAGAAAGGAATGGGATAGTCAACTTTTCGAATTCGCTTTTCGGTAAGCTCACAGAGATATTCCAGTATCGTAGTCTGTACAACAGCGCGTCCAGGTCCTCACATAGTTGGTCCCAGGTCGACGCCCCATGAGCGATATCGTCAATATACAAGCTTCTTCCTAAGACCGGGCCCATTTGTGATGGAGTCGGGATATTGCGTCGGAATAAAGTCACGTCCAATGAAGGAATCTCTGAGTCCCGCATATCTACTTCAGGTTCCAGAGCTTCTTGAGGCTCGAGATTCAGGAATTCCAGAACTTCTGAGTCAACCATCGCTTCCTCTTCAGGTGGTAGACGGACAAATTCCCACAGACAGTTGCTGATGATGCTCAGATAAATTAACGGCGCATTCTTCAATCCAAAAGGCATTCTGAGTCATTGAAAGTGGCCGAACGGGCAGACGAACGCAGAGATCAACTTTGCTCGTTCAGCCATTCGCACCGCCCAGAATCCACTCGCCATGTCGAGACTCATAAACCACATCGCGGATTTGAAGTCTACCAGTAGGTCATCGATCAGAGGTAGAGGATAACGGGATAGTTTAATGAGCAAATTCAGAAGCCGATAGTCAATACACATCCGGATGTCTATGCCTTTTTTCTTCAGCACAATCACAATAGGCGATGACCACTCGGACTCTGA